ATCATCCATTATCCAGATGCTTTTTATCAATTAATATCTGAGGTATGCAGTTAATTCTTTACAGATGTTTAAAGCTTTCTGTAAATGATTTGGGGAAGTACTGAGCAGGGACTTTGTACCTTTCTGGTTCTCTCACATCATAAAATTGAGTGCATACGTGAATTTATGGAAAAATGTCTGAAGTAAAAACACTGCAGGCGGTGATAGCTGGAGGGAGCAGATATCTAGGCCTGCGTTGGGCTGCTGTTGCTGTGGCAACTGCCTTGTAAGCTCTGCCTGCATTGGGGCCGCATTTTCCTTGGAGGCTCCTTTGACAACTCTCTCTGTAGCTCTTGTGACCTTCCTGGACAGCTCCCCCTCCTTCAGCTGGATCTCGATGGCAGAGAATACTATCAGAGAGAAGTCCAGTTTGAAAACAGGATGCTGGATTCAGGAGCTTCCTGAAATCAGTCTATGAAAATTGGGCAGGTTCCCTCAACCCATGAGTCATCAAGAGGGTTACAGATCAGACATGTCTGAGGTTCTGACTCAGGACTAAAGCTTCTGGGAATATAGCTGAAGAACTAAGCATCTTCAAATAAAATAAAGTGAGGAAGAGTTGCTGAGCGAAAAGTTGGAGCGCACGTAAATCTTGCTTAAAATTTGTCCCGGCTTTTGTTATCCTGTGAGATGAAATATACAGAACCTAGGGAACCCTGTTTTGCTTTTGGAAGCAGTGAACATCTTCTAATTAAGAGTGAATGCATAGCACAGCTTATCATATCTAAGGAGTGGCAATCTAACACACACATCTTACTACATGTCCACCCACATCCATTTGCTATTACTTCTCAAGAAATGCTTTGCAACTGACTTGTGGTTATGTATGCAGATGTTAGCTAGCTCTTGTGATGACTGGTCCAGGTTTTAAATCTCTAGATTTAAAGTTAAGGACATTAATTGGGGAGAAGATGCTATCCCTGGTGTGTTCTGTGTAAGTAATGATAGAAAACTACCAAGAAAATAGATGTTTTGAGACTCTAAGAGAGACTATCCTTTTAATAGAGATGTTATTCATAATTTAGGAAGAGTGCACAGCATCAACCTTGTAGCTTTGTATTTGGGGACTGACTCAGGATATAGAGTGACAGCGAAACATGCACAAAGATTTGCCTTAGTGAAGCCTGCACTGAAAGCCTTGCTGAGGATTTGTGTATATTTGATAATTTGAGAATTTTTTATTTTGTTTTACATTCTTATAGAAAAATGAATCAAAATATTTCAAAAACTGAAATATAAATGTAAAGTTTCAAAAATCTCTAAAATAGAATATGTACTGTAATTTCCACATAATACTGTTTGATGTAGACTTTCAGAAAATGCCAAGTCCTTCTCAGATTTCCATTCAAAGTGTGGCAATTACTGATGCTAAAAAAATATAATTTGGTCAGAAGACAGTTGCACAGTGTGGACCTCAATGTTAAAAATTATTTTGAGCTTTTAGCATAGATGTAAAATAAATTTCCATCAAGGTGAACAACTTATTAATTTGAGAGTTAATTTTTAAAACGTGAATGTAAATATGATTCTTTTTAAATTAGTTATATCAGATTGATCTTTCTTATATTGTTTATGGAATACTTTCTGATGATTTTGCTCCATAGGAATTGTGGTTATAAACTCAGTCATGACCTCTTATTCTGCACTGACCTAGACTGTTGTTAGTCATATTCTCTCTTCATTGTTGCTTCTCACACAGTTAACCCCCTCATTATATCTCATTTTCAAACTGTCTCCACTAATAGGAGAATAGTCAGGGCGTAGATACAATGTCCTTATTTTCCATGTGAGAAGTAGCAGACACTAATATGTAGCATGTAAGAAGAGGAGAGACTATTTGATGTTGGAACACTCGGAATCCATAAGGCTTGCTGGCTGCTGGAGCTCCAGGAGGAGACCATGACTTCTTTTGCCCAAGTTCTGTATGAGATTGGATCCATGCTCCCTTCTGGAGCAAGGACTTCCATCACCAAAACTGAGGTTATCTGGAAATCATGGATGATTTTTCTCCATTTGGAGCAAGAGAGGTGAGGAGACCCCACATAGATTTCCTGCTGAGCAAGTGACTGCGTGGGCAGATGCAGAAAGTGTTTGGGAAAGAGCTAAATTATTTGAATCTGTGTCAGGGAAAGTTTGATTTGTTAGTTCACATGCCTGATGACATAATCCTGCAGATCTCTTTTCTTAATTTGGATGACATTGGGCAGCTATCAAAAACCTGCAAATAATTCCCAAAGGTGTGTAACTGAAGAATTCTGGGAGCAGTTTAGAACTTTACAGGAGAGAAATGCTTATGCTACAAAGAAGTTAGGGATCACTATTTACAAGAAGCTGCTAGCTTTCCACCAAGATGTAGCCCAACAGAAGATCACACAGAGAAGGCAATTTTTCTAAACTTTACTGGCTAAAAAATAAAATAAAAAATAAGGATTTAAACTGAACTTTCATATAACAGTTACTACAATTAGACCTTGCCTGTAGCTGAGACTGGGTGGAAGCAATTATCTGATAGATTTAAGTTGGATAATTTGTTTAAGAAAAAAACGTCTTGACTGTGAATATTGTTCTGACAATTAACTTATTTTCTCTCAATAAAAACCCCACAAAACTACACAAGGCAGGTTGCCATCATTCTGGGGAGATTGACAGCTTGAATACAGTACATAAACAACTCATGTTTTGGGTGCTAAAATTGTTATAACAAATGGTGTTCCTTTTGTTGACATGATCCCTTTGAGTTCTAAAAATTAGACACTTATATCATACATATATATATATAGTTATATATATAGTTCCTGTCCCTTGGCCAAGGCATGGCCTATAGCTGTGCTTCTTACACATTTCCACTAGCAGAGGGAAATGCATCTGCCCAGGTGACTGGGTGCAGCCCAAAGCATCCCATCCATGTAGGGAGTTTTCTTTTAGTCTCCTGTTTTCTCTTAATACTTATGAACATTTTACCTTCCACTCATTGTCCTTGTTTAAATATAAAATAATGACCACATTTATTAATATTAATCACTCCCACTTCACCCAAAATGGTTGAATAAATTTGCTGCTCCCAGATGGTAACTGTGGGAACCAGCTTCCCCCATCTGGGTTGACTGTGAGGGAAAAACTGGTTCTTATTTCTTTCTACATCCCCCATATCTAGCAGAGTGCTCGGCATAGGGTCCTTATCAATAAATGTGTGCTTGTGTTGAATGCACGCCTATGCACCCTATTAGAGTGTACGGAGGATGCTCAATAAATATTTTATAGATTATTGAATGATAGTATGTTTACATTAGGAACATGCATTTATATTCCTGGAAAGGCCTCAGTGTGAAAAAAATATGTGTTTTTGGTTCTTAATCTTTAACTCGATTTATTGAGCTATCTGGACCATATGTTGTAAGAACAGTTCCTCTTTGAATACAGTGCTCAGCATCAGAGGTTTTGGATCTGAAGTTTTCCTGTGGCTGGAGTGCTTAGACATTCTATCTGGTTCCTTTTTGCATATTTTCATGGTTATTTTTTATGTCTCCTATTTTCTTTGATGTTCTCTCATTATCTCATATTCCTTTAAATTTGATGAGTATATTTATTTCATGATAACTGTACTTATATCTTTTTTCGTAGCCTGTTTCGTTTGGCACATTAACTCATAGTGATGGATTGTTTTTGCATACTGTGATTTTATTATTTATTTTTTAATATGTTTTTATTGATTTGAGAGAAGAAGGGAGGGGGAGAGAGAGAGAGGGAAAAAAATCGATGTAAGAGAGAAATGTCCATCGGTTGTCTCCCATATGCACCCTGACTGGGGATCAAACTGCAACCTGGGTATGTGCCCTGACCAGGAGTCACACTGGTGACCTTTCTGTGCATGGGACGATGCTCAACCAACTGAGCCACTTAGGCCAGGGGCATAGTGTAGTTTTTAAATTGTGAATCATGTTCCCTGGACTTTTAACTGTGCAATTTCTTTGAGGCCTGGTTTTAAAGTGCCTTCTTTGTGTTCATTGTGTGTCACCTGGGACAATTTTAAATTGCGTTGTGGGTTTCTCAGAGCCACATAGAAGGTGTGACTTCTGGCTCCAGCCCACTGTAAATTCAGGCTCCTGGTTGGGATTTTCCCTTCCCCTTCGACTCCCCAACTCACCCAGATCCTGACCCTAAAATCCAGATAAGTTTCTCCACTATCTCTCTTCACTGATTTTTTTCTTTCTATACCCAGGAAAATGTCACTATTTGGGGCTTTCTGAAATCATACGGGATCTTCACCTACAGATCTTGGCCTCGCTTTCAGTGGCCACAGCTTTGTTTCCTACCTGTGTACATGGGCACCTGGTCGCATCCTCCTAGTTAAAACCGACTTGGAAATCTCATCAGCACTGGCAGATGCCCCGAGGGCAAATGTGCAGCATGGGGTGGGAGTGGGGTGACCTCTGGCGAATTTCCCTTTCTTGTTTTCCATAGGTATATGCAAAAAGAATATTAAAATACTTTCATTGGCATTTAGGAGAAATTGGAAGAGATCTGCACTCATCTAGTGTATTGGAAAGAGTGGCTCTTGAATGTCTGCTGCGTGAGGCATGCTGCTGAGCCTCACACGGGAAAACCTGGCCCTCCTTTCACTGATGAAAAGGCCAGGCTCCTCCTCTAGGTGGCCTGGCCGCAGGCGTTTTCATGGTGACTGAAATTCTTGGGGCCTCTGTGCTCTTATCTATAATAAAACAGTATCGGACTAAACGCCCTTTATGGATCCTTTCAGCTCTAAAATTTTTTGCTCCATGACCCTGGACCATTGCATTGTTTTTTCTTTCTTATTTTCAATCTTACAATGATTGGGCTGAAGTCAGGGCCCCAGTCCCCATGCCTCATTACTCCCGGAAGCTGCTCTCTGTCTGTCTGGTGTTTTGACGTTTTTCAGCTCTCCCCACAGGTGACATCACCCATCTTCTGTGTTCCTCCCACAGGTCGCCTCTCTTGGAGTCACGACCTTCACCTTATGCGCGCTGTGCATAGACCGCTTCCGGGCCGCCACCAACGTGCAGATGTACTATGAGATGATCGAGAACTGCTCTTCCACGACTGCCAAGCTGGCGGTCATATGGGTGGGCGCCCTCCTGCTGGCGCTTCCAGAAGTCGTGCTGCGCCAGCTGAGCAAGGACGACCTGGGCTTCGGTGGCCGCGCGCCGGCCGAGCGCTGCGTCATCAAGATCTCCCCGGACCTGCCCGACACCGTCTACGTGCTGGCGCTCACCTACGACAGCGCCAGGCTCTGGTGGTACTTCGGCTGCTACTTCTGCCTGCCCACGCTTTTCACCATCACCTGCTCCTTGGTGACTGCGCGGAAAATCCGCAAAGCGGAGCGAGCGTGCACGCGGGGCAATAAGCGGCAGATCCACCTGGAGAGCCAGATGAACTGCACGGTGGTGGCGCTCACCATCTTATACGGATTTTGCACCATTCCCGAAAATATCTGCAACATCGTTACAGCCTACATGGCCACGGGCGTGTCCCAGCAGACCATGGACCTCCTTCATATCATCAGCCAGTTCCTGCTGTTCTTCAAGTCCTGCGTCACCCCGGTCATCCTGTTCTGCTTGTGCAAACCCTTCAGCCGCGCCTTCATGGAGTGCTGCTGCTGCTGCTGCGACGAGTGCGCCCAGAAGTCCTCCGCGGCCACCAGCGATGACAACGACAACGAGTACACCACGGAGCTGGAACTCTCGCCCTTCAGCACCATCCGCCGGGAAATGTCCACCTTTGCCTCTGTTGGAACGCACTGCTGAAGGGCGCTCGGGCCGGGCAGATTTTTGTTGGTTTGATTTTCATACCCTGTGAAAGTTTTTACTTCCTATTTTTCCTTACGGAGAAATAAATGCAAAAAAAGAAGAAAAAAAAAAAAGAAAAAGAGAGAGAGGATTAACTACTGGAAAACTGACTCTGCAAATTAATATTGCGCTTTGAAAAAAATGTTTATATTTAGTTATTTAATAAGTACGAGGAGGCCAATAGTTTTAGATCCTTTTATCCGGTATGGTGCTAATATTTTATTTGGAAAAAGTTATTGCACCTTAATTAATTACTAATTTTCTTTCTTTCCAAAGTATAATCACTGTACGTTGACCACAGCCACGTGATTTTGTAGGTTATATTATGTTTGAGTTGTGATTGAAAGTGTATTGTATATAGTGTCATGAGATGATTTGAGATGATAAGAAACATTCACAAAGTAGCACCAAATAAATGACACTTTATTCTTTAATGCCATTGTCAATCTACTTTTAACCGATTTTTAATAAATCTCTTAATTGCCTTAAACACACAATTACTGGTTCTATGCACAATTTAAAATTGGCCTTATTGTTTTATAATTTTACTTTCCTTTAAGGCAGGTAACCACTGGGTTATAAAGCCTTAATACAGTAGTGCTATTTTATGTGCATGACTCACAAAACTGTATCGTATTTTTAATATTTAGATGCAGGTGTAAAATTACTTCCAAGTATTTATAAAATATGAATAAACAGACAGCAGAGTAGGAAAGAAAACTATCTCTTTTTTTAAAAAAAACTTACCTCTGAACTAGCATGTGGAGACATAGGTTTTCCTGTGAGGAGTAATGGGGAGAATTAAAGACTAAAATACAATGCACTTGTCACCTGCTGTCTGCTGAACACTGACCTGTGCAGCGCTGTGAATCTTATGTGAAGCACCCTGAATTCTAAGCTTCTCCTTTTAGACAATGAACTTGATTAAATCTGTGTGATTTAATTTCTTCAAGTAGAATGGAAGTACAGCAGTGGAGTAATAAAATAGATATCTTGATTAGAACACTTAATATTCAAACGCTACCTTTGAATTGGTATTGTGTAAACTTCCAACAAAACACAAACCCGCTCCATCTGAATAATTTGAATTCCTCAAGGAGCTCAGGTTGCAGCAGTTGTGGAGGATGCCTGCCACGGGGAGCACATGTTAATGGGGTGGCAGAGACAGTGACCTAGTGACACAGTGCGGCAGTGCAGCTGTAATGTCTCCGTGTTCAGAAAAAGCGTGCGGGGGAGCCCAGTGTCCTGGCTGGAAACCGCCCTGGGGGTGTGCNAGCTGTAATGTCTCCGTGTTCAGAAAAAGCGTGCGGGGGAGCCCAGCGTCCTGGCTGGAAACCGCCCTGGGGTGTGTTTTCTGCCTGTCAATTTTCATTCTGTTTGGCATAACTGAGAAGCACCTTCTTCCAGATTATCCCGTGATGTTATTTAAATCATTACACTTTAGTGCTAGAAAAATATACTTAATCCAAACTATTCATCTTTGCCATGAAACTCAGATTATGACAGTGCCCAGAATACCTCCTTTTCCTCAGTGAGGACTGTTCAAAGGGATTTTTCTCCCTTACTGCCTGTATTCTAAGGCATTGGAAGGAGACTGTGAACAAGGAGTCATTGTCTTCTTACAGAGCCCTGTACTAGGTCTTTGAAAAACTTCTCAGGGACGCCTGGGTGAGGTTTTGGCTGCTGAGCAGATCAACAAATTGTGATTCCCCAGTGTCTCTCATAATAGCTGTCGACTTTTTAAATAAACCTTGATTGAGCACATAGTATAGAAAAGGTCCTACGCTATTACCTGCTGTAGATAAAAGTAAATAGAGCTTAGGGTCAGACTTTACAAAACCAGGCAGGGGCGGGATGGGAGGGAAGGAATTAGACAAATAAATGAACAACTACGGTGTAAGGTGGGGCTTGTTAGGAAGGCGTGAGGCTCTAGGACAGTTCAGAGCACGCTGGGATGGAGAACATTGTGAAAGGCCTTAGGAGGTAACCGGCCTTCAGAAGGAGTTGATGAAAGGCAGTGTGGGAGAGGGACACCTCAGGACGAGAGAGCTAGTTAAACAGAGGAATAGAGGAAGGAACCCTGAGGTGTGGTTGAAGAAGAACTGAATAGTCCAGTCTGGCTCCTATGCTGTGTGTGCATGGAAGCCTCATGGAAAACACTGATGAAAATATGCATTGAGACCATGTGATAAAAAGGTATGACCTTATGTGTTTGGCATTCTAAATCTGTGTTCACCTATGTGTTCGTTGGTGTCAGGTGTAGCAACTTCCTTTCCTCTACATTCACACCGGGTCCTGAACTGAAAATGTTTGGCAGGGAGCTCCATTCCTTTGGGAAACCTTTAAGATCCTTCTGTTCAAGAACATTTTTTCTCCAACCCTTCCCCCTTGTTTTAAAAATAGGTGGACTTTTTTCAGTCTTCAAGCACTCTCCAAGCTAACACGTTAAGGTTTCTTCCTAATATTTTGAATTAATCTTGCTTTTTAAAAAAAAAACAAAACTTTATTGATTTCAGAGAGAGGAAGGGACAGAGAGAGAGAGAAACAGAAACATCAATGATGAGAGAGTCATTAATTGGCTGCCTCCTGCATGCCCTCCACTGGGGATCGAGCCCGCAACCCAGGCATGTGCCCTGACCGGGAATTGAACCACGATCTCCTGGATCCTAGGTCGATGCCCAACCACTGAGCCACTCCGGCCAGGCTTAATCTTGCACTTTAAAGTATTCTTCAATTACTTTCTGTTGGTTTGGCTTCCTATGTTCTTTTTCTAAGCAGCATATTCCAATATATCTGATTACTGCTCACCCTTTTCATAAAGAAAGAAGGAAAAGCACATTAAAAGTTTCTACAACTTTACCATCCTGTTTTATAAATGTCCTTTCCCTCTTTCTGGTAAGTAGGAAAATATATGTTACATTTCCTTTGTTCTGGTCTTTTAGTGAATGCAATTGAAGGGTATTTACTGAACTCCACTTTTGGCCTGCTGTTTACATTGTGGGCCTTTGAATTTCAAATCATTCAACACAGGGCCTCCCTAATAGGTGGGAATTACATTATTTTAGGTCTGCAAGTGATCTCAAAGTCTTCCAATATTACCCAACTCTGTCTTTATATACACAGAGCTGATTCTCTGAGTTTACCGACTTAGGCAAAATCACATAATTTGACCCTGGCTGAGTACTGATTTAGCATAGGGATTCTCAGAATAGCCCTGGCCGGGTGGCTCAGTTGGTTGGAGCGTCGCCTGGCACACCAAAGGTTGCAGGTTTGATTCCTGGTCGGGGCTTGTACGGGAGGCAACCGATTGATGTTTCTCTCTCTCTCTAGTCCTTTCTTTCTCTCTCTAAACTCTGTGGAATGTACCACCCTAGGATGAAGATAAGAAAGTATTCTAAGAATAGAGGGGCCTCCTTTCAGGAATTATAAATAATAATTTCTACTTGACTGGCCCACTCACCACAATCTTTAAGATGCTGTCTTGATTCAGATAACACATAGTTGGCGTTCAATAAATGTTTGCTTAGTGAAAGAATAAACAAGTATTTAAACTGAAAGGACATGCAGAAAATACTGTTTAGCAAAGTACAGATGGGAAAGCCAGGAACGTGAGTTAAGAAGCCGCAACAGAAAAAAAAGTAAGAAAGTATAGTTTTCTGGTAACAGTGTTCAGACCATAACCTTAGCAGTCCAGCATTAATCAAAGGATGTGCATATCTATGGCCATATACGTGGTATATGTTCTAAAACTCTAACATCTAGTGCTACAAGTAAATCTTCAAACTTCTCTGTCTCAAAGTTATTGAGTCCAGGTGCCCTAAAAGCCACGTTACTACTTCGCTCATTGTCTTCTCTCTCTCCTTCACTCCATTCATGAGTTAAAGCCTATGTGCCAGGCACTGTGCAAAATTCTAGAGACGTAACTGTATGAATTAGATACGATTCAGTCCCTTTTGGAGTTAATAGTTTACAACTGTTAAACATTATTTCCTTCATCAACTATTTAGCAAAAATGTGAGTAGTGCTGAGAAAGAAATGTTCAGAAAGGAAAGTGCTCAGAGATTACATGACAGGGGAACCCGACTTAGTGGTAAAGTCAGAGAAAGTTTCCTCGAGGAAGTGCCAGGAAAGGACTGGAGGTGGCAAGGGGATGAGCCGCGTAGAGGGAAGTACTGTATTGAGGCTCCTTGTGAAGACAGAACAGAGCAAGTTCAGCAACCAGAAAGGCCAGGGAAGGCTGGCATGCCCCAAGCCAAGGCAGGCACCAAGTAGCAGGAGACCAGAGTTTGAATGAAAACAATTTCTGTTCATCTTCAATGGGTTCCTGTTATGTGTAGGTAGAATAAATTCAATTTATCAACGTTATACTGACCTTCCATGGTTCGTGGGAAACCACTCATCACTGTTGCTGGCAAACTGACTTCTTATATATTTAAATCTAGCAGCCTCAGTTTTTAGTCTTGATTTTTCATATAACTCACTGAATGTGCTTCCACACTTGTACCTCAAACACTGCAATCTGAAATGGGACAGCAGTTCACTGATTGAAGAGATTGTATTGATATAAGTAGAAGATAATTATTTACTATCATAGTTATGAGATCCTTTGATCCCTATAACTTAGGTGCTAAATCAATTTTCCATTGTATTCTATAAATTTGTAGAGGATTAGAAGTCTTTTGGCTCAAGTACTCAGAATTTAAAGATTGATTTAAAAAATAGTATGGCTTAATCAATCTTGACATGATGACTCTCTTGTTCTAGTAATACTGTAATCAATCACATGGCTGTTAAATGACATTTACATTTCCTGTTAGTCCACTGTTGTCAATTCTACAAACTGGATTTGATGTTTTTCCTTGAATTTTTAAGGCATATAAATAATTCATATGCAATACATTCTATGAAATCCATAGACATCTTCTGAATTGAATGCTTTGTTTTATGGACAAGCATGTGATTGATTTGTTTTACACATTTCATGTACACTGAATTTAAGTTTAACCATAGACATTTAAAATTTTTCTATTTAATCATAATTTATTTTCCCAAGTTTTAAGAAAAATAGCCTCTTGTAATTTTATTCCTCTTATTTGTATTTGTATTGATATTGTATTTAGAAATTTAGTTGACTAGGATTTCTTATCCCTAATCAAATATTTCGAACTTGATAAAATCTGAAGGTTTGCCTCAGACAGAATTTTAAAATTTAAAGAAATATTGTCTCTGAGAGAGAGAACATCTGGAATGTCTAGAAGAGATTGTAATGGTTGTGAGAGAAGCTTTCAAAAGAATTCGTAAAATGACAATCATATTGTTCTTACATCCTTGAATGACTTTTGTTCCTGAACATCTTATTGGTTCTAATTCCATTTATAAGTGGGCTCTGATCACAAATGCTTGCAAGGCAATGGAACTGTGGCCTACCACGAAG